CGTTGTCACCTAAATGTATATTTATTACATGTAAAAGACCAAGCAGCATGCAAAAAAAGAGGAACGGCGCTGGAATCTAAAGAAGAGGAGTATCGAAAGAAAAGAAGAAAAAAACAAGGTAAAAGAAGACTTGCAAGAAAATTAGTTGGGGCATCGGGGCGAAAAAGACAGAGCCGGAATTCCTCCTGTGCAGTTTTCTATTCCGCAAAGAAGGGGAAAACTGACCCTACTGTGTAGCTGCGTGTGTCTGAGGAAATAAGCGGAAGAACGAGAGAAAAAGTGGGTACTGAAAGGAAGCAATGGAAAAGCAAATGGCCACCAGGCAAAAAATGGGGGTGAGAGACAGCTTCTACACTCTGCATTGTCGCCTTTCGCGTGTCTTTTTTCCGTTAGAATTGGGAATTGGTAAGCGAAGAGCCAGAGGCTGAGAGAGTGAGTGGGGAACAGAGGGGGAAGGGAAGGTAGAAACGGGAAGGAAGTAGAAGAGAAGAGCTAAATGTGAAGCGACTGGCGAGCCTGTGAGCCAGGTGGAGCCGAGGAGTCGCTACGAACCAGTCGGAGTAACCGACTTGGAGCTTCAAGGCTAGCTGAATGGTTAAGAGGGCCAGCGTACCGCACCGGGTGACTTAAAGGGTCTTTACCTTGATAAATGAAACGACAGCTCGGTTGCCCCCCTGGTCTGCTTTGCTGTGACTCCGAACTGCCTGCGTGAGCGGGCAAAGGCAGCGGACGCTGGACTACCACCTAACCCCTTTTCTTTCGATATTTCACTTCCCCTCACCCTCAATTCATTTGCCTGATTTTCCTTCACCCTTTACAAAGGCCGCATCTCGGGTCGCTTTTAAGTTCCCACGGGCACACCGATTGGTGTACGGCCACTCTAGCAATAACCTTAATAACACAACGCGAGGAGAGAAGGAAAGAGGTGAGGCAAAAGACAACGGCAGAAACGAAAGAGCCCGTGGCTTGGAGTGGAGGGAGCTCCGTACGGATACGACAGGAAGTCCCAGCGGTTTAAGGAGGCTATTGACAAGAGTGGTATTAGAAGCGGTTGCAGCAATCGCAATACCAATAGACGAGCAGTAAATGGATTCGAATGACGCCACAAGCAGAAGGTTATGGCTTCTGTTATCGTTGTTTGCATCATGACCGTAACGTAACGGGAAAAGACGCATATAGTCGCAACGGTTTTTAGTCGACGACCTTAGAAACGCATGGAGGAACGTACACCTTCCCTATCGTTTTCTACATTTTTCTTACATGCGTAAATTCTCGCCACTCTTCAACATTCATGTCCAGCAGATTGCTGAAGAACCACAAAATTATGTTAAAACAAGTTATTGTATTTCTATTGTTTTTAACTTTTCAAATGGCATATAACATTGACTGCATGTTGTGCTATATACGCGGTAAACACTCGATGAAGGTCCAAAGAATGCAACTACACAATAAAGAAAGAATTATCGTATAATGAACCTGAACTTCAAGCTAACTAAGCTTGTATTTGTTTTTTATTATTGTGACGCGTATATTTATTTCACTTTTTTTAATTGAAAGTACGATTAGAAAAAAAAGGGGACTCCGATGGTGAGCGTGTACGCTACTCAGCGGTTCTGCTTGCACTTATTATACATTTGTCTAGCAATGGAGTTTCTATTGAGAAGTTAGCATTCAAAAAGGGGGCAACAATAGGGCACATTCGAAACACAGATTTAATTTGTTTAGCATTTTCATTCCAAGGTACTGTGTATTATTCTTAAAAATAACATTGATACCAATCATTCGGAAATACAACGATGTCAAATAATTAACCACCTACTAGGAGAGAATTTTGTTATTAGACAAATATATTTAGCTCGGCAAATAACCATAATTATCGCCAATACCCAAAAGGCAACTCATTTCACAGAATTTTTGGAACAAATTTAACGTGGCTTGAGAGCAAACAGAACTGCTGCCCCAAGCCTGTAGTCTACTCGAATTTTTTTTATCTCAGCTCCTATAAATAGAAAGAACTTTGTTTAAAGTATATCGATATGTACGCGTCTAGTTACGATTCTAAAATAGTAATTCGCTGTCAAGGAGACCTGTATGAAACCCCCTTGGGGTTCGTAGCTAAGACAGATTATTTGAGTAATTGTACCCTGCTTGGCAGTACCGGAGCTTCCGAGGACCCCCTCACATCATCCCGTAATATGAGTTCATTTGTCAACATGAACTGATAGAAACTAATATATAGGAAACTCGTTTCACTCATCTCGCCGTGTGCGGTAGTTTGCGGTCAAATACCTGCAAAGCCGTAGTGTGCTTCAAACTACTATAGGTCTAAAACGCGACATAGTCCAAGGGATATTCCGTTCCTTCCCGTTCGTTCTTTTTGTATAATTACAATTTCCCTTCTTTCGGATATTACATCCTATACACTCTCTTGTGGATCTGAAAAAAGCGAATTGACTCACATTTATCATGAAACGTTGCCAGAAAGAAGGGAGAAGAAGAAATGAAGGAAGCAGGGTTGGGTTTCTTTCTATTTAGCTCCTCCTCTGTAATGGCTTGAGGAAGAATATCGACAGTTCCTAAAACTGGCCGGCCTTTGTCTGATAGAGGGTAATGAAACACTAAGCACCTAACAATATGTGTGGATGAACTTGATATGGCCGATGCAGATTCAGCGGAACAGCTTTTCTGGTATATATTTACTCAGGGGCACAATTCAATAGTTGCCAATTTCTTTCACAACTTTGGATAAATAATATTTAATAACGGTAAGATTGGAATTTTTAACATGACCTACGATTCGTTATTAGAATGTAAAGTACGTTGTTGACAGTTGACGCGCGCGTGGAGCAATGTACTTACGACCTTGTCTACAATGACTTCATATATTGCTGTATATGAAACTAGCGTATCGACTAACATTCTAACCCTTTGCCCCTGCAGTTCAGAGAGCAAATTTCATTGAGTAGATGTTCACCTTAGCTGCATCCAACTTTCTTGATCTAACTGAAATACACAGACCATTGAGCCAAAGAAATGATGTACGTGTACACCTCAGTACCTTCGTTTCGCGCAAGAAGTAGCGTAAGCTCATGGCATATAGGCATTCTGTGGGTGCGTTGTCCAGTGACAGATCCCGAACATGGGTCCTGCCGTTTCAGACCTAATTGGTAAACTTTATATCGTTTAATATATTGGTACTGCACAAACATTTTCGTACAAAACCATTTTAGAAATGCTCCAATGCTATACTTTCGTCGTTTTAAGAACCTTCCTCAAAAAATACCTTTACCATCCATTACCCAAACATTACGTTATGCAACAATTTGAATAAGAATATACTGTGGGAATATTCTCAAAAAAAACTTGGTCGTGCATACCGTGGTACAGAAAAATGCATGCTAAAAAGTCTGTTTAAGTAAGCGCTAAATTTTCTCTGGTAGAGTGCAATGGCAATACTATAATACTTGCCGTATGTACACGCATATAATAACCAACTGGGAAATAGTTTGTCACGTTTCAGCTGTTATCTACTTTTTGTTACGATAGCTCTCGGTACAGAGTTATAATGCACTTTTTGTAAACATATATATATATATATATAAATGCTATGAAATATATTAACAGTATTAGGGTAAGGATGAGCACTCGCTCATTAAGAAGGGTATGCTTCTAAAAAATAAAAGGTTTTTATGACCAGATTTACAGTAGGATCTGCCTACTACGATTAAATGTAAACGGTGAATATTCTTAACTTAATAAATGCCATGATAATTTAATACTTCGCCGAGTCCAGTCATTTTTTGTCTAAACGATTGCGTTTCAACTCTGCTTGTCTATTGTAGCATATTTTACAATATAAGTACAATAATAGTAAAATGTAAAAATTAGCTTAAATCGTGTCACAACAATAATGTCACAAAAAATTAATATAAAAGGCAACCTTACCGATACAGACTCAAGCGTTGTACATCAAGGATAATTGTTAAATAATCAACAGTGAAAAACTAGTGCAACTTCTTGAATTGTATTTATTTTACTTTTAAACTTCCGTGTCTAGTTATCTCGGAGATGCTAGCTAATTTATATTGAGCTGCTATTGCAAATCAGCTCAACATAAATTGCTCGTTTGACATCATCTGCGGAGAGCTTTGTTTCACAAACCGCTTTTCCACAAGTATTTTCACAAAGAAAAGTTTTTGTTCAAGTTAGAAATCAGCCAACGTGCAAATCATATGGAAACTTTGAATTTGCACACGAAAAAAACGCTCATTGTTTGAAACTTCAGATCACTAAAGACCTGTCGGGCAATATGAGAGATATTCTATAAAATGCCAATAATACGTCAACGACGTCAAAGGATACGGATGGAGGCTGCACGGGAGAGGCCGCGCTAGCCTAATTAGTCCTGTAGTAATAAGTAATCGAAACAATGGCACTCACAATAATACGGTGCCAAAGCACTCGCCCACTGGATCTAAGGAGGTGTGGTTCGTTAGTAACTTCATTTACGTAAGGCCGGAGCCATTTTTTAGCATAATAGAGTTATTAGTTTGTAATATGATTCACGTTACAGATAAGAAGAATACGATGATTGGTTGAGAAAATTTTAATTATAGATGATCATCTATACTTCCTGTTAGCTTTTCGTGAGGATATTTTTTTCACGTAAGTATTTCTTAGATAGATATCACAAGGAACTTCGTCGCGATTCCAAGACAAATTAATTTATCATTTATATTTAAACAGCATAGATATATATATAGACAACCGTTACCTCTTGAATGCCGAGTTAAAACTATTTCGGTTATCCTGTGTTTCGAACAAACTTTCTTGATTGTGCTTTCTATGCTGAGCCTGGGAAGCGCTTCCGTCTCTGCAAGCTTGATGAGCCCTTTCCATGCGCCTCCGCTCCATCTGAGCCGCATCGACCACCATAACAATCATCAAACAGTCTATGTACAGACGGGGAGGGAACACAACATTGTGCCAATTCGATATGATGCTGTTGTCATTGGACAGCGCTGTAGTTTTACCGGTAGGTGGTAAAACTACATTACCATGATAGTATTCAGGTAGAAAGCGCAAGGGGAGGCTGTTTACCTAACTAAATAGATAACAACGTATCTAATTAACAATAAAGTTTTATCTATTTTGCTAATTCGATCAAACGTGCTGCATGAGTGTCAGTGAATATCCTCTTTACTACCTACTATGAGATTTCTATAGCCAGTGTGCGTGAATGTGATATGCTGACATCAGCCGGTGATCGACCGCTTCTGGCGCCACGTCATGACGCTCCTCGCCGACTCCCTTGTCGTGTTGGTGTCAGGATGCGGTTTTTTTGCAGGAGGATCGATCTTCTTCATGAAGCAGTTGTTCAAGAACTACGAAATACAGGATCGACTCGTACAGCTCTTATTTGCAGCGGTTTTCACGTTATCCTGTCTAATGTTCGAACTTATCATTTTTGAAATTGTAGGCGTGCTTGAGTCGAGCTCACGGCTGTTTCACTGGAAGCTTATATTGTTTACGATGCTCGTGATGCTCATTCTCGTCCTGCCATTCTATATTGGCTGTCTAACTATACAAAATACGCCGTTTGTTCAGACGCAGGCTGCACGAATCATTCTAACGATTACTGCCTATCTCATCTTCGTATTCGCGTTTTGGAAGGTGGGTGACAATTTTCCCATTCATAATCCGAAGCATGGCATTTTCGGCATGGAGCAGGTGATCTCTCGGGTTGGCGTTATTGGAGTGACGGTGATGGCGTTACTTTCTGGATTTGGAGCAGTCAACTATCCGTACACATCGATGGCGTACTTTATGCGACCGGTTTTACCGACTGACGTAGCTTCGTTAGAAAAAAAACTTATACAGACGATGGAAATGATTGCCAAAAAGAAGAAACGCATTGTGCTGGGACTGAAGAGTCAAGCCGCAGCAAATCGTTCGTTTAGTGGACTCTGGGATGTGATTCGAAGTATGTCGATCACTCCGACTGGACAGTCGGAGAATATTGGCCAACTGCGTCAGGAGGTTCGCGCACTCGAGGAGATGTCGCGTCAATTATTTCTCGAAAACGTCGACCTTCATGGGGCACTTGAGCGAATCGAGTGGTCAAAAACGTTTAAAGGGAAATACTTCAATTTTCTCGGCTACTTCTTTTCGGGTTACTGCACGTGGAAGATCTTCATTTGCACGATCAACATAATTTTCGATCGAGTCGGAAAAGTGGACCCGGTAACGCGCGGGATGCAAATCGCCGTCGACTGGATAGGTCTTAACGTCGACATCAAGTTCTGGTCACAACATATCTCGTTCTTGTTAGTGGGTATCATTGTCGTAACTTCAATTCGAGGGTTCCTCATAACGCTGACGAAATTTTTTTATGCGATTGCGTCCTCGAAATCGTCAAATATTATTGTTCTCCTTTTGGCCCAGCTAATGGGCATGTATTTTGTATCATCCATCCTCCTAATGCGCATGAACATGCCACCAGAGTATCGAAGCATAATCACCGAGGTTCTTGGTGAGCTACAGTTTAGTTTCTATCATCGGTGGTTCGATGTGATCTTTTTGTTCAGCGCGTTATTCAGCATCTTCTTCCTCTATCTAGCGCATAAGCAGGCGCCTGAAAAAGATGCTATTCTTTAAACATAACCCTCGCAATCCAAGATGCAAGAATAATTTATAAATTGCTACGATTACTGCTACTATTATTTTCATAGGTTGTATAAATATATATTCTGTGAATGCGGCTAGTGCGTATTCTGAAATCAGCGTATCAGACCACGCCATCTACGCATTTCACGGAAAAAACGCAAATAACACGGGCAACAAACGACGGAACTAAGGCGCAAAATAAGGATGGGGTGCCTTCTTGTTTTGTAGGGAACAGAAACTAGTGCAAGCCACTCGTTAGAGGTTACCAGGACTACTTCGCGGTTTAAGCGCAATATCTAGCCGGTGTTATTGTGTATACTTATATGTAATTTTTAATAAATGTGATATAAATTCTGATAAATGAGAAATTAGTGCTCCTTTTCAAGGTGAGCGTAGTTTAGTTTGGAGCTTTTAGAGAGGTAGTTTAAAACAGACATTTTCAGTAGAATTTTAAACATCTTTTTGGTTTTATCAATCACCCTGTTGTAGATTTATTTAAGTTTTATTTTATATCCGGTAATTATAATAGCTATACATCGATCAAGTTTTTGAATAAAGTTTAAAATTAGGCTTAAAACAACGTAAATCATCGTCAACGTAAATAATCTGCCAGATAGAAACATCCTAGCTTTTATTATGTTTCGGTTTGCTTCAAAACCTTATACTAGTATCACGATGCTGGATTTTCTGAGTACCATTATTTCAAATCTGGGGTAATTAAAAATGTCTAGTGTACTTAAGGATAAATTCTTCATAACAGTTCATTAGTACTTCTTTCGAGATCAAAGAATTCTATGCATTTTTTTCTAGCGCTTTTAAAAAATCTCAGTTGAATTCTAAATTTGTCAGCGCAGAGACAATTAAAAAAACTTAGTCGTAAGCTATACAGCGCACAAATATTCGACCTATGTCGAGCAGGCACAAGCTGCTATATAAATTATACCTGAAGCATCTCTTGAATCCTCGAGGCACAATTGAAGTGTCAAGCTTCATGTCACCCTGTTTGAATGCTGCTCTGTTGCAGGCCATTGAGTAGAGATGGCCGTCCCACTCGCTCTAAAAATGATGTTTTTTTTTGCATGAAGATACTACCTTAGTGCGAAGATTTGTTACTATTGAAAACTTCACGAACATTGCCGTAAGAGAAAAGGCCGCTGTTATTATAGACTCTGGCTAACAAATCAATAAAAATAGTAATTCACACCAATCTGAGATTGGGTTACTGGGTCAATATATTACATTTAATTTGATAGATTCACAGTAGAAATATAAAAGCTTTCAGGCATGGTACGCTAGTTGGAAGTTGTTTAATTTTTTTTAATTCAATTAACTTTTTATTTATTAAATAGCTGAATTTAATTTAGTTAACTAAGCACGTTTGATCACGCGTTACGTTGGAAACTGGCTTCGATTTATCCTGCAAAACCATAGTTATTTTTCAACATGTAGCAATCTTGCCCGGACTCTTTATATAAATCGCCGGTTTCAAGAATGGTATACTGGAATATGTGCTGGCGCACAAACACAAATTAAAACATTCATGAAGTATCGAACTGTATTTTATAGAGAAGTAGCAACAGCGATAAAGAAAACTATAGGTATCAGATAATACTCGAAGCCATCTCGATGTGCTCAGTATAAGAAATTGATTAGGTAGTGGGTGAGCCCTATCTTTGCTTACGAGTACGACTTCATCAACTTGATTTTATCCAGTTGTTTTGAAAGCCTTCACGTCCTGGCTACATAACGACTGGCCTAACGAGATTCGAACTCAATTTTGCTTTGACATAGAACAGGCGCGTATCAACATAAGGAGTACGCACGCTATGATCTATAATACTAAATTCAAGCTTGAAAGAGTGAAGCGTCGAGTGGAAGCGGAGACTATACTAGCTCGACTCTTTTTCCCAAAACATATCAAGACATTTTGCATCCTTGAAGCGAAGTGCTACCTCCTGTTCTAATGACCAATAATTTACATAGCGCTTTAAAAAATAGTAGTATATTATGCACTGTTTCCCATAGCCGATTAGAACATCGCTGTATTACGGAATAATGAATTTTCATTATGGTACTCCATTTTTTTCGAGCGTACCTTATGTGTCACTTACTTGATCGCTTGTAATGAATTTCTGAGGCTAAATGTTGTGTAATGTTTTGCGTTATTGACTCGACTACGGTACAGGCAGCGGCGATCGAATACGAACAAATGCGCGATCAGACTAGTTTTGTCGTACAATTAAACGTTTCCTTCCAAACAAGTACGTTCCGCTTCCTTCACTTTGTACCTCTGAACACTATAGGGATAGGGTATGCTCTGTATTATATTATACACCTATCCCTTTATTGATTCACCGTACCTATTAATACAAATAACTTATGGTATGATTGGACGAGCGTCGAATAATAAACTTAATTATTCCTCACAACTATTCACTCATCGGCGTCAGCATATGTGAACTAGCGATGACGACGACAGTGTCTATAAGCGGTAAAATATCACAGAACGATCCGATTAAATCTTGTTATCATGTTCTAGCAGTAATAACAGTGGTTTTGTCGACTGATGCTGAAAGTTTGGTTTGTCTAAAATTGAACGCCTTACACTGTGTCAGTCATGATGTGCGAAAAACAAAGATATCGATAGCTCTGTCGTTGCCGATGATGATCCGGAGCATGTCTGGCGCATGCCAAAGTGGTGTTCGTCCTGTGCGTTTTGATAGCGCCACATGGTAACAGCGAACAGTAATCGAGACTCGAAGATTTGGTCCAAAAGTTCTAGTCTGAGCGATTGCACAACACTAGTAATACACAGCTGTTGAAAATAGCAGCGAATCGTGTCTAGCCGTCCGTAACATATATTGGCATGTAAGCGCTGGTATAGTAATCTACCCCTGTGCGTGAATGTGTGAGTGTAATAAAAGGGAATTATTCTGGTACTTTTAGTTGGTAGGTGTACATCGACGCGATTCGGGAAAGTATCGCATTGCCTCTGTCATAGGCACGGAACCCGCCTCTTTGCGCAGCCCCGTGAGCAGACAACAGGATAAGGCTACGCAAGGCACAGAGCCGATTAGAAGTCAATTTGGAGATAGAACATTTCGGTGGCGTGGGCGGCCCGACGGCAGTGGTGGTGGTGGTGTCAAACAACGCTGCCTCGTTTATTTCATCGTTCGAGGCCCCAGAAGCTAGCTACCACCCCCTAAAGCTGAATCCAAACCTCAGACTCAATCTAGTTTCTACTGTTGCTGGTGACGGCTATAGAAGAACGCCATCCTCCTTCTGCAACGCGCCATTCATGACTGCTTGTCGCTACATCCTCTTCCTGCGACGCTATTTTCTGTGCTGTCGTTCGTTCCGGAAATAACGCAACAGCCTGCACCCAGAATACAGGGCAGTGGCTTCATGGCCATCCCCGCTGGCTATCGTCTTCATTCCATCTTCATGCCCTTCGCTAGAGTTTCCCTTATTCTTTCGTAGTGTCCCAGCATCGCCGCAATAGTATCGGCCGCGTGCATCTTTGATCTTCTCTCTTTATCCAACAAAGGACTGCAGTTTTGCCAGTAGATCGTTGCCTGAACGAACCGACTGGCCGGCCAACATGAAGGTTGTTAGGTAGGTTTGTTAGCCTGACCTGTTAGCCGGGTTCGGTAGTGCCTTTTTCGTGCTGCATTACTTGCAGACTAGACCAACCAACGAAATCCGGAGTTGGATAGCGAAGAAAACTACGGAACGCATCTGTATCGTTGCTACTCTAGAATGGGTCTTTTTCTCTAACTTTGTCAAAACGATGAAACGCTTATCGTAGTTATAGGAGGGCAAGAAAGAAATTTGGGGTTCTTCTATGCTGGACATGGCGTGGATAGCTGAAGCCGTGCCTGAAGTAAACTGAAGTTGAGCTAGTAGTCCCGGGGCAGTGGTTGCTGCTGTTGGGAAGGAGGCGACTGCGGAGGGAAGATCACAAAATGTTTCTACGAAGTGAATAAAACAAAGAACGAGGAAAGCCAGAATCATTGCTTTCGTTGTCTCCACGCGCGATTCCCTGCCTGCCTATGCGGGACTACTTGTGCGTATGTATGCATGTATTGAAGGAAGGAATCTACGTAAGCATGCACCAAGTGTACAATGAGTTGATATCTGAACTGAGGGGAGAGAAGTGGCTGGTAGGCAGGCGCGAAACAAACAGAGAAAATGTCAAAGGAACAATGAACGATTGGGAGCGGAAAACGTGCTGTTTAAAGAACAAAGTAACGGCATTATCTCTCTTCCATTCCGCCTTTTTGTCTTTTTCCCACTCAATTCGTTTGTGTAGGTTCATCGTACTGGTGTACTTTCACGCCGCGGCGTTCGCACGCAGATGATAGTGGCAAGATTCGACAAAACGAATCTGCAGAAGTATCTGCACCAGGGTAGTAGCAGAAGCGCTCTTGTAATCTCGAATGTTTCCACTTTTGCTTGCTCGGTCACTCGCATGCCCAGGCGGCGAGTCTGGCAAATCGAAGCCGCCCCTTCCGTCCTGCCGAGAGTCTTCAAGTCGGGATTAAGGGGACTTGCTACTCAATTGAGAGAGTCGCAACGCATCCTGCTCCATGTCTTGCCGCTTGTCAGGATGCAGGCTTGACTGAACGATGCCGAAAGAGAGATTGCACGAGTAACAAGGAAAGGCTTCTCACAAGCATTACCACGCCACCAAGTTTCTTAACTGAAGATCGCCACGCTTCCGCTAAATGATGGAAAAACTTTATACTGCCAAACTTTCCGGCCTTTGATTGCGGTTAGATGCCAAACGGCATGATGATTATTGTTTGTCGGAGTTCTTGATCCGAACCGGACGCCGAGAATACCCGTTACTGCAGCACTCTTAGCCCATCTTACAATGGCATACCCACAACACAGCGCTTTGCCGGAGCGTGCTCATTTCTGCGCGCTGTCTGCTATATAGAACGCTATGTTTAGCGGCAGGGTGTTTTACTCCTTAAATTTACAATTTATAGATAGTCTATGATTTTGCGTATTCACCGTTTGATTCTGTTTGAATGAATTGATTTTGCCTCTCAAAAATCAGTGCTCCAGAAAAACTTGAACTCTTCGGAAAATGCACTGTCGATTATGGAAAGTATTTTAAAATATTTAGCTTTTAGTAATTTAGCAAATATATTTCATTTTTATTTGTGCAAATAAACAAAGTGATTTATTCTTATTACACACTTGAGATATAAAATTTTCTAACAATACGTCGTACACTCTTGTGTTTACAACCGTGCTGTTAGTATCTTTATTATTATTATTGACATATAAAATGGCAATGGCGCCTGTAATGTTTTATTCGTTATTACTAATGATCTGGTTGCC